CCTCACAGAAACCCCCCTGCCTCTGCTCCCAACTGCTGGGATTAAAGGAGAGTGCCATGATCACCCATCTTTAAAACTCTCTCTTTCAGCTGGGCATTGGTGGCACAATCCTTTAATCCCAGCACTTGGGAGGCAGAGGCAGGTGGATCTTTGTGAGTTCGAGGCCAGCCTGGTCTCCAGAGTGAGTGCCAGGATAGACTCCAAAAGCTACACAGAGAAACCCTGTCTCAAAAAAACAAAAACTAAAACAAAAAAACCTTCTCTGTCCACCTTCTCTGTCCCCTCTCTCTCTTTCTTTCTCTCTCTCTCTCTTTACAAAGATAAGCTTCTAAATGAAGTATTCACATGACTGTCCTGGCTGAAGTACCTCTATTTTGACTTATCCATATTCCTTTATGGTATGTAGGTGCACAAGAGTACATAATAAAATAAGTTACCATATCTATATGTGGTGAAATGGTTCCCATGTTTTTCATGGTTGGATTTTTTTGCCTCTTCTTTCAGGTATATTGGTCATGATTTCGGTAAAAGATTTTCATATAGAAGAAACAGTTATGGGTGCCTGTTGGGTATGTGGCGAAGGTGCTAAGGTAGAGACATTATACTGCTAATATACCTTTTACAAGATATTAGAATGTTTCTTTCAGTCATCAATGAAAGGAGCAATATTTTAAAAGTAGTCTTAGAACATAATTATTTTCATTAGTGCTTGGTTGACCATCTCTCAAGCATAAGACATGAGAAGAAAAATCACAGGGAGATTTGAGAGAAGAACACACAAAGCATTATTAGTAAACTTTCCATCGCTGTGACATAGTAGTTGAGGCAATCATATTAAGAGTGAAATTGTATAATTGATTAATAGTTTAAAAGAGTTTTAGGTCATGGTACCTTGAAGGTGTTGCATTGATCCTAATAATGTATAGTTCATTATGTTGTGACTACGAGGAAGAGTGGAGGGCGAATTAGCATCCCAGTGTGTCAAGAATTCCAGGCACACCCTAGTGTGTGCCTCCTTCCACCATGTGTTCCTTGTAGAGTTATAGAGTTTTTCCCAATTAGTCATAGTGCCAATGGACTTCAAAATATACCTATTTGTAGATATTCATGATGGGGGATGTCCTTCTGTATACATGTTTCTCTTATTGAATGATGAACAAAACACTGTTTGGCCAGTAGAGGCAGGGATATAGGTCGGGCTAGCAGATGAGGAGAATGCTGGGGGAGGCGTGGAGAGGCAGAGAGATGTGGCAAGAATATGCCATGTAGTCAAGGAAAAAATAAGAGGTGTGGACCTTTCTCCAGTAAGATAAGACCATGTGGAAATAATTAGATTAATGAAAATGGGTTAATAATTAAGAGATAACTAGCCTGTAAGAAGCCCTAGCCATCAGCCAAGAGTTTAATAATTAATATAAGTCTTTGTTTGCTTATTTGGGGCTAAAGCAGCTGTGGGACCTGACAGGACAAGAAAATCCAGCTACATATTCTAGTTTTAAACAAGAACAATTAGGAATGCTTAGAGAAAAAAGACAAAACTTTAAAGGGAGCAGGGTTTAAATTCTACCTTTAACTGAAATAGTCATAGTCTAATTCATGTTAATTTTTTCAGTCTTAATACTAGTGACTTATTGTGTATATCATATTTTACTTTCTGACCCAGTATGTGTTTTCATAAACAGGAAAGGAAGTGGTTGAGATTCTAGGAATGGTTCAGTAGTATTGAATGCTATTGATTTTCCTGCTTAAATAGACCCAATTCAGGTTGAGATCTTGTCAATATTATGTGTTCAAGTTCACTAAGCAAATTAGTAATGGGACATTTTTTTCCATTTCTACTAATTTACCATCCTATTTTAAGAACATGAAATGACTATATATTCAGTGGCAGAAAGATGAAAAGAAATGTTTTAGGGAAGGATCATCTCAATCTTCTTTGTCATGTGACTTGAGCCATGAGAAGACAAGTGGAATGGTTATACAATTTGAATGAAATGGATTTGAAATTATACAAAATAACTACACTCTTGTTAGACAAGAGTGAAAAGAACACATGGAGGATGCCCAATATGAATTTCAGGAGAAACTTTATGGGAACATGATAGAAGACTGTTGCATGTTTGTAACCTCACACTTTCTGCTGTTAGAAGTTTAATGGCATTTGGGGAGAGTGCAGTTACATAGTAGTATTTGTACTCCTTAGCATTTCACAATGAAAGTTGTCTTATACACAGTGTCGGCCTTTTTTCTTTGCTTTTTAAAGAATCCAGAGCATACCTTTAATCCCAGCACTTGGAAGGCAGAGCCAGGCAGATCTCTGTGAATTAGAGACCAGCCTGGTCTACAAGAGCTAGTTTGAGGACAGCCTCTGATGCCACAGAGAAACGCTGTCTTAAAACAACAACAACAACAACAAAGAATCCTTATTCTTGGTACAATAGGGCCATTAATTAATCACATTATCACCCTACTTTAATAAGGTGACCCAAACTGACTTGCTGTGACTTTAAGTAAACAGGGAATTGTCTTATTTGCAATCAAGCTTCTGTTAATGATAATTGTTGTGGAATATTTGTACGATGTGTGAAGATGTATTGCTCTGATTGGTATAAAATAAAGCTGAACATCCAAAAGCCAAGCAGGAGAGATTGGCAGGACTTCTGGTCCAAGGAGAGGAACCCAGGATGAATCTGGGTGCATGAGGGAAAGACTAATGAGACACAAAGGGAGTCAGATACACAATGAAAGAAAGGTAAAAAGTCATGAGACAAAATATAGATTGAAGGAAATAGGTTAAAGTTCTAAGATATAGATAAGAACAACTCTAAGCTATAGCCTGAGCTTTCACAATTAATATGAAGTCTCTGCGTCATTATTTGGGAACTGGCTGGCAGGATAGAGAAAGACTCATTACCTGTATGTCTATGCTAGTTATATATTTCCTACATCTCTGTATTAGTGAAACATTTGTATTTCAGGGGAAAATGAAATGTCAACAAACGTGGCTTTTAGATAATAGCAGGTATAAAGAATCTATTTTTATTTTTAATGAAGGATTCCTCATAGACAGACATGCATTCAAAGTTACAAATTAAAAATTTGTTAAAGCAAGACAGATTAACAAATAAACACCTCAAAATTAGTTTTGAGGGCTGGAAGATTAACAATCTGTTTGGTACAGAAGTTGACACTGCAGGAGCTTGAGATTAGAGTGAACCTTGCGTGAATCCTTGGTCAGGCAATGGAGAAAGTTATACAAGGCAAAAAAGCGAGTTTCTTCATCAGGTGACTGCAAAGATGCCAGTCCATTCCAGGTGGGGTATGCATAACTTTCTGGGAATCCAGGTTGAATCTAATCACGAAAAGACATTCATTTATCATTCACTACTTTTTGCTTTATGTTATTCATTTTAAATGTGGAGTGAACTCTTGGGATGAAGATAGAATTGTAAAATCACAGACAAAGTCATGAATTCTAATATTTATGTCCCAGAGTAGTGTGAATGTAGTGGTCATGAAAGTTCTACAAGAGAGACTCTTGGATATGTTTCCTGTGTATAGTGGGAGCCAAACTAACTATTTTTTTTTACATACAAGGCAGATAGAGGAGCATGAAAGTACTTCTTGCCTGTAGAGATGAACTTTACCTTGGAACAATGTCAGTTCTTTCATGATGGGTTTCAAACATGTCCTAAGCGATGGACCAGACCATGCTTCCCTGATCCTGAAGGAACCATTGTGCTTATGTACTTTTCAACTAAATTTATTGTCCACATAATACATGAAATCGAAATCTCAGACTTGGCCAGGACTGCACCTGATATTTTCAGATGCAGATGGTCAAGAGATGGTTGTGATGAGGAGATATGGTGATGTTAGGAGTTATTCCTTTTACCAAGCAAACGTAATTGCTCAAGGGAGTATAAAGAGCATCTACTTTGTATTGGGATATGTAAATACTTAGTAAAGCACCCTAGAGATGGATAGCACTGCCAGTAAAGCTTTAGTAAAGAGGCTGCATTTCTGTATTCACTTCTTACTACAGTGGTCACCTCTCTGATGAATTAGAAAAGCAAAGGAGTATGAGAAGACTACACACCTTGCTGAGTATCCTCTTCAGATCTGCTAGAAGTTCTTTGGTTTTTGCTTCAATGTTTTTGGCTCTTGATATGATATCATTGGGAGCGTCTTCCATATGACTTAGCACAGTTGCTATGTGATGCAGAGGATATTTCCAAGCTTCCAACAAACTGATTGTCTCTTTCAGAAGGAATACACCCTAAATACCCATAATTAAACAATTGTATAAAAATTGGTCAAATAGATATCAGAGTTAATCCATGTGGTATATTCTCAAAGAAAATGGACTACGGTATCCGTGTATTATATTTATGTAGATGGCAGTTGCCATGGGAATTTTAAACTAATCCTTTGTCTATAGCTTGATGGAGTCACACTAAATGTGTCACATTTGCTTAGATACTTTTCTTATGGTAAATATATCTTATAATATTTCTGTTTCCATCTGAATTTCTACCATCTATCCTCCTGCTTTATTCAATAATCTTTTGGGTTTTTTTTCCATGTGTTTTTTCTCCACAAGTAACCACAGGAACCGAGTAGGTTCATGTCTCATAGGACATGTCTCATATAAATTGATACCAGAACTGCACTTCAGTGGCAAGTGGCCCAAATGTTTTTCTCATAGGAATGCTTTTTAAAAACAGCAGGTTCTTCAATGATGCACTCATTTATGTATTTTTGCATTTACTTTAAGACAGTGGAACAAAATTCATTAATGACAACCAGGCCTTTATATGTGTGCTTTTCTCATGCTATATGAAACATAGCCACTTCCTCTTGCTGAGCAATTTATGTGTGACCAAGTACAGGTGAAGATCAGTGGAACAGCATTGCCTTTAGTAGATTGATGGAAAGCACAAGAAAATTTGATTTCCCAGTGTGTACTCACTGCCAAAGTCATATATGAAACTCATCTCTGAATAAAATACTGCTGTGCTGCTGTCTGATAGTCATTCTCTTCATAATGAAAACAAAGACAAGACTGGATTCCATTGATCTCGTAGTGTCTGACATTTTGACATTGTAATATGATATCAATTACAGATGTTCTTGATTAAAGCAAGGAATCAGAAAGGCTTGATACATGAACCTTGAGTATAGAGTTGTATCGTGCAAACTGTAGTGTTTTACAGGAACCTCTTGTTCAGATAATTTCAGTTAAGGCTTGGGAGAAGAGGAGTAATTTATTGAGGAATGAATGGGCAGGTTGGATGCAACCAGGAAGATCTTGAAAGTCAAAAGGAGATTTCTTTGTGATTAGTAGTATACAAAGGAGCAAACACAGTAGCATTTCATATGTATAATTAATGAAACTGTATTTGCATTTCCTATACATAATTATGAATATTTTAAGCATGTGTGCAATTTAGTTCAAAGTAGCCTATAAAATAATAACTATAATCCTAGCTATGGGCATTGGTAAAATAGTTCACCTGCATGCACAGTTTATGGTTCTATGACAAAATTATTTAATCTTCAGTTCTACTTAAGAATTTAGCAATTGTATAATGTGAATTTTCTTTGATTATTCCCTCCTACTTCATTCTTCTGCACGTGTGATTACCATAACTATTTTCTTACCTATAACCATCTTCAACTTAGTTCTTCAGCTTAAAGCAGGAGCTGTACTCACATGGATCTGTTGGGCTCCATCCTTAGGTATTGAAACAGAAACAGCAGATGTGTGACAGCCAGTAAGTTCTCTTTCGGGGAACCACCGCCCAGGAGTATATTGCACGTCCTCCAGCTGGAAAAAATCCATTTTGATTTGGACATGAGTAACTTAATCCTTAACCAGAGTATTGAAACATTTTGGCTCTTGCAATTCTATCCTCTTTGAGATACCAGGTCTTTCTCTTTGCCATAGCAAATAACAAGGTAGCTGAACTGGCACTTCCAGGGATCTTCTCTTCACTTATTGTTCCTTTCTCAGTTAAGGATTATTTATTTTGCTGATGGTATATCTGATGGTATATGTTATGTAATTCTGCTGCACACGCTTCCAAGCAAACTATTGGGCTCTGAATTTGCTGGCTTGAAGGTTCATTTTGTAAAGGAGCCAAATATAAGTGAGGTACTTACAAAAATCCTTTGAATTTCTGTGGTGAGCTCTGTGATATTATAAGACAGTGTAACAGCATGATCAAGTAGGTCTTTTAGAGACATCATATCATGGTCAATCAAACTGGCATGCATGGGAACAGAGGCTGCCCTCTCCCATAGGAGGAGGTTCAACACTGTCAGCATCAGGAGTGTCCCTGCTAAATAGAAACAGAAACTAACATGAGATTCATTCATCAGAGGTTATGAGCATTAATATCTCTGTCAGATGTCCTTGAATATATGTAGTAGTAAATAAATATTTACTACTGAAATATTCAGTTAAACAATTAATTTATATACCTATATAAATAAGTCAGTTATTTTCCAGATTTTTGGATTGCTATCCAAATGAACATAATGTGAGATTAAGATCCAAAAACTAAACTGCAATATAGAAAAAAGACTATACTGGAAAGCATGATACACACTGGAGCTATTTCACAGACATACAGAAGAGCTTACATCATCAACAAGATGAAGCTGCTACCCAGAATGTCAAAGTTTCATTTTTCTCAGCCTGAGACCTCCACTAATTTCAAACTGCCTGTGGTCCACTCAATCCAGTAATTGTTGTGTTCAATGTACCTTCTTGCTCTCAGTTTTACATGGCCAGTGGTTCACCAATCCTTTCTTCCTCCTTGAAGTGCTCACAGTTCAATTTGAACTTCTCAAGGGTGTTTGTTTTCTTTTTTGTTTGTTTGTTTGTTTTGTTTGGGGATCCCTGAAATGATTGCTCACACCATGTAATGTTTGTATACTCACAAAGTAGAGAGTGATGACACCTGGAGAGACAATTGGCCTCTGGTTTTTCTTTCTCACCTCGCTTGAGGAAATGTTTGGCTTCTTTAGATACAGTATCTACTTCCTTGGTCACTGTCATTACATCACCAGCAAAGTGAAACCCTATGGTGACTATCCCTTTCTATTTCCTTGGCTTTCTCTAGATTATCTGCTCTAACCACCAGCTGACTTCAACTTGTCTCTTATTTTGTTTCCTCTGCTGCCTTAGCTTGTGAATTGGGGCCTGCCTTTTCTTTAGGCTCCACTACAATAATGTGGCATAGTCTATTTTCAGTCTTTTCCCATGCATTCTCTGGCCCAAGGCCACCTTCTTTTTCAATGTCTTCACTGATACTAACTCCAGATTCTTCTTCCCCATCCTTACGTCCCTCATTCAACAAAGCATGATACAAACAAAAAGCTACTTTGTTTGCTCTTCCAGTATGAAATTCCCTGAGCCTAAGTTCTTTTCCCTTTGGATTTCTCAGCCTACTTTGCACCATCCTCTTCATCTTCCCTCACTATTGCACTGACATCGTCTTCATTGAACTCTCCACTCACTTTCACATTTTCCTTATCCTCCTCTGACATGGAGAAGTATTCGAAGTTGAATTCCACCATGAAGTTGAGGCATTGTTCCTGAAACCCCAGAGAACCACAGTCTTTGCCCACAAATGGCTAAGTCTACAGAGAGAACATAAAGCTGCAGAACCAACAGCTAAAGTGGCCCTCTGAGTGAGCCTTTTAAAATCATTCACTACAGACAGATTAATGTTGGGAATTAATGCTGATTTTCAGTAGTCTGATTCTTCAAGACTTTGTCTCTAACTCACCATGCAGTGCATGCATTTTGGCAAGGACACCACACTTTTATCTTTTGGTTGTATGTTCATGCCTGATAAGTATAAACACATGATTGTCTGGTATCTAGTAACAAGAGCAAAGAGAATCCAGTCATGAAAGGGTACTGTATGTTTGATTTGCTAACTCACAACAAAGCCATGCATTATTATTTTAGCAAACTGACAGATAGTGCTTTCTATGCAGTTGAACTTTACAATAACTTGTGAGTATGAAATATAAAATATTGCAAAACTGTACTGATGAAAGAGAGTCTTACAGGGTTATATGATTTTTGCTACATCCTATTAATAAATGCTGAGGGCAGAATGCCAGTACTATGTACTCTTTACTCCACATGGATAGGTCTTCAGTATCTGTGTGGCAGAAACCCCCACTGATGATTCTGACTCAGTTCTACAGATGTTGCTGCTTCTCAAGCATCAACTTTACCCATCAGCCTAGAAACCCTAGAAATCACCATTTTATCTATACTTCTTGCAGTATAAAGTGTCATCTTCACACTTTTGACAATGATCACTGTTGGAATCTTCTCTAATCTACTAATTACACACACAGACAGATCTCCTGTCAACAGTTTCCCTCTCAACACAAAAGAAGCATTGTACAGAAAACAAGTTAAAATTAGTTCGTACATTTCTTGACACTTTCCTAAATAATTACTGAAATAAAAAATGTGATTTTCATAAATCTAAATTCCACAACATCTTTCATGATGCACTAAATGTGAGTCCAGAAAATACCAGGCCAATGTTAAAGATTTCTGCTTGAAGAACATCTAAATTCATGCACTCATCAGTAAATATATCTAAATATTCTGTAGTATACAATATAAGTAAAACCCATGTTTTCTACATAATAAAGTCATTAATATATGAGTCATATACTTTCATTTCCCATAAAAATGACGGTTCTATATTTTGTGTATATAAAAATGTGTATCTATGTATAGACGTACATATTTTCTGTGTATATGTAATACATATATATTTATATATATGTATATAGGTATATGTTAATCTCGATTTTTCAGCTGTGTAATTCTCATAATCTAAGAGGAAGTGAAATAGGCAAATACTCAGTTCCCCATTTCTAAGAAATTCATGACTGTCGTGACTTCTATTTCCTGCCAGAGTCATCTATAGAACTTTAGCACCACCGACAATTAACATAGTAATATCATTCAGTTTACTCCAAATTGACAAAGAGAGGAAGACAGGTATCTGCTATTACTGTCTACTTTAGGCTTCAGTACTGTGCATTAGAAAGGTTGATTCAAGCAAGCAAACTCATGTTTAAGATGCAGGAATAAGAACATATTTCCTTCTTTCTAGAGTCATGACAATTTGAACACATTGTTTCTAGGTTCCCCAATGTACTATCATGTTTTATTCTCTGGAACATCAGTTATACTGTATTTTTTTTTGTTCCTCTGGGAGCTACCCTGGCATTTGAAGATATTAAAACAGCACCCATGGTTTCTAGCCATTGTACACCACAATAATAATCCCTTCTTTTATGTGTTTATGTGTATATGCGGTATTTTTTAATTTTTTTGAAACTGAATGTCTATTTGGCTTGAAATTTTCTCAGTAGAATTGGATGGCAGATTTGCCAAAATTAACAAGTGAGCTGTCTTTTTAGTTCCAAAATTAGAATTACAAGCTTCAACTACGTCATGGACCTTTCCCCATCCTCTTGCTTTCTTTAGTCTAAGTAAGATGCTGAATCATCTTAGAAATTTCTCCTTATATCAAGGAGAAAATTCCCATGTCTAAAAACTGTTCTAAGTTGTCTACTTTGCCCTTAAACAGGTTCCTTATAGACTACAATTTTCCTAATCCTTTGTTATGGTACTTTTCAATTTAATATGTCTATTAACACCAGGTACACAATATAGGATTCTAAGGAAAGAATACCATTTGATGGATTTATCAAATTTGCTGAGAAAAGCATTAATGAGAGTTTACTTACAGAAGCAAGGTTGACTCAATGACAACTGCATCTCAGAAAACTTCCACGATGGTAGATGGGCCACTGGAGAATGCTGCTGCACTGAAGTCCTAGTCTCAGTTAACTCACTGCCATCTAAATACTCTGTCAGTTTGCCCCAAGGCCCCTCGCTGCTACGGCAGGAAGGAAATAAGAATAAAGCCCTAGGTAGGGTTGCACTTAATCTCCTTCTTCAGGCAATGTCAAAAGTATTGCCACAATTATCATGAACTTGCTAAAATGGAGGTCTAAACAGAGAATTTTCAACTTAAGAATGCCAAATGGCTGATACATTTAAGGAATTGCTCAACATCCTTGGTCATCAGAGAAATGTAAAACAAAATGACTCTGAGATACCATCTTATACGATTGAGAATGCATGAGATCAAAACACTGATTACAGCTTATGTTGGAGAAGATGTGGAGTAAGAGAAACACTCCTCCACTGCTAGTAGGAGTACAAACTTCAACCACTTTGGGGATCGGTTTGGCAATTTCTCAGAATACTGGGAATGATCTACCTCAAGAACCATTGATACCACTCTTGGGCATATGCACAAAGAATACTCAATAATTCTATAAGGACACTTGATCAACTATGTTTGTAGCAGCATTATTCACAATAGCCAAAACCTGGAAACAACCTAGATGCCCTTCAACTGAAAAACAAATAAAGAAAATATTGTACATTTACACAATGGAGTATTACTCAGTGGTTTAAAAAGAGGAAAGCAATGACATTGTGAAATGTGCAGCCAAATGGATGGGACTAGAAAAAAATCATCCTGGATGAAGTAACCCAGACCCAGAAAGAAAACCATGGTATGTACTCACTCGTAATTGGATATTAGGTATAAAGCAAAGGATAACCAGGCTACAATTCACAGCCCCAGAGAAGCTAGGTAACAAAGAGAACCCTAAGAAGAACAGAGATTGCCCTGGGAAGGTAAATAGATGGGATCTCCTGGATAAATGGGGATGGACAGGGTTTAGGAGAGGGAGGGGATGGAGGATGGCTGAGTTTGGGGAGGGATGTAGTAGGAGAGCAATGAAATAGATATCTTGATAAAGGAGGCCATTATGGGGTTACAGAGAAACTTGGTGCTAGGCAAACTCCCAGGAAACCACAAGGATGCCCCCAAATAAGTCTCCCATCATAGTGGAGAGGGTTCTTGAACTGCCCTTCTGTCATCAGATTGGTGATTACCCTAATTGTCATCATAGAACCTTCACCCAGTACCTGAAGGAACCAGATGCAGAGATCTACAGCCAAGATCATGACATGGGAACCCATGGAGACAGCTGACCTGAGGATGTGGAGTTCATAAACTCTGAACCAACAGCTAGTGAGCCTGTATTGGACTGACTGAGGGCCTCTGCATGTGGGTGACATTGTGAAGTTTGGTTTGCTTGTTAAGCTCCTAGAATGTCTCTGGCACATGAGTTAGCTTTTTGGAACCTGTTCCTTATGGTAGGATTCCTTATGGTGGGTCTTGATGCAGGGTGGAAGAACTTGGTCCTGCCTCAACTTGATATGCCATGGTTTGCTTATATGCATGGGATGCCTTACATTATCTGAGTAGTGGATGGGGGGATAGAAATAAGGTTGCGGGAGGGAAGACGAGAAAATGATGGAGGGAAAATTGTGGTTGGTATGTAAAATAAAAAAAATTTAATTATAAAAAGTTGCAAAATACAGAAATGGTTTGTTACAACGTAAGTTACATAATAGTAATTAATAGTAGCAGTTAGTGAACAAATCTAGATTTAGTTTTCTGAAATATAGAAATAAATTTATATCACTGCAATCAAGATATAGTGAATTTTCAGGAGTTTACTGCAGAATTATTCATCAACCACATCAGTTGCCTTTTTCCTAGAGGTCTGCCTTGAACTTGACAGGAATCCCTTCCCCAGCATCTGTTCTCTCTGAGCCTCTTGGAGCTCTGTTAATTCTTCCTTTCTACAGCATAGTTCACCTGCTCTTTGGCTTCAGAGTGTACATATGCTCTGTTTGTGTGATATATCTTTTCCAGTTAGAATACATGTTGAACAAGTTCAGGTGTGTTTGTCTTTTTGCTCATCAGTTTAGACCCAAAGACTGCAGAAGGGCATGAGTAAGTAGACAAGGACAGACATGTTAAGTGGTCAATAACCCGCTACTTGGGCTGATTGATATATCAAGTTTAGGGATTCAGTAGGTTATTGGTGATTATTGGTGAAGTATTATCTATTTTCTTTTTCTTTCTTTCTTTTTTCGAGACAGGGTTTCTTTGTGGCTTTGGAGGCTGTCCTGGAACTAGCTCTTGTAGACCAGGCTGGTCTCGAACTCACAGAGATCCAACTGCCTCTGCCTCCTGAGTATGGGAGTATTATCTATTTTATCTGACAAGGTTAAGATATTTTTCTTTCCAGTTTCTGAGTATAATCATAAGCTACATTTGAAAGCTATTGTTAAATATATCAGGCTAACATGGTTGAATATCTAAGTCGGTACTAAAAAAATGGTGTAATCAAACATTTCAACTTTTTTTGAAATACCATTGTTTCATTTAAATTAGAAACAAGCTTGTTTTACATGTCAATCCCAGTTCCCTCTCCCTCCCCTCCTCCCCTGCCACCCACCAACTCCCTATCCCATCCCTTTCTGCTCCCGGGGAGGGTGAGGCTTTCCATGGGGAACAAAGTCTGTCATCATTTGGAGCAGGGACTAGTCCCTCTGTCATGTGTCTAGGCTGAGAGAGTAACCCTCTATGTGGAATGACTACCATATATGCCATCCTAGAGCCTTCATCCAGTAGCTGATGGGAGCAGAAGCAGACACCCACAGCTAAGCACTGAGCTGATCTCCTGGAATCCAGTTGCAGAGAGAGAGAAGAGATAAACAAAGGGGTCAAGACCAGGCTGGAGAAACCCACAGAAACAGCTGACCTGAACAAGGGGAAGTTCATGGATCCCAGACTAGATTTCTACCAATAGTTGTTAATTAAGCTGCAAAGGGAAACAACAATCAACATTCCTTCCCAAATGTGATGCCTACAAATCACAAGAAAGATCAGTACAAAAAGATATCCCTAGAGCTGCAATAATGACGCGTCTATCTTTGCAGTGGGAAACTGCTGTCTAAATGTTCTCATGTCTTGTCAATAGGAAGGAAATAATGTCTGTACTAGAATCATAAACAACTGCCCTTGGCTAGTATGGTCCAAGATCTCACAGCAAAACATAATACTGCCTATTTCTTAAACCAGTATAATTACTAATTGCATTATTCATACTTTCTCTTATATCCACAGTTAGGTATAGCAATTACTCCTTATCAAAGAAGTTTCTATTTGCATTAGCCCAAGACCATTATAGAAAGGCACAACGGGCCAGAGAAAAACTGACCATGGGGTTTCCTGTGTGTGTGTGTGTGTGTGTGTGTGTGTGTGTGTGTGTGTGTGTGTGTGATCATGTAATCCATATTCCTAAGGCCCAATAACCATCATGAAGGAGATAGCAGAAAGCAGAAAGATTAGAACAACCATGAGATTACATTTTTAGATATAACAAGAAATCTGTACCAGTGTAATCTCAAAAATATTAATACCCAAACAAGTCTTGAAGAATTTTAACATGAGTTGACAAGCCAAAGTACATGACAGAATTCTCAATGCACACTGATTCTACTTGAACTTTAAACTAATCACTACTGAGAGGAAGAATTAGTCTTCTTTAGGGATGAGTCCTATAATTGACAATCTGTCTGTCCTAGAAAGAGAAATAGAATAACACTAAAAAGACTCAGCAGTGTCAGAGTGTGTATGTGTGTGTGTGTGTGTGAGTGTGTGTGTGTGTGTCTTTGTGAATGTGTTTAACTAAAGATAATAAAATAAAAAGACGATATGAACTTGAGTAGATGTTGGGATACATGACAGGGGTGGGGAGAGGAGATGGGCAAATGGTATAATAATATTTTAATTAAAAATTAGACACATTAAAAATTGATGACATCTAAGTATAGTGCATTTTCATAGTATTTGTATTGTTTATCATCTTGCTATTAAAATTAGCCCATAGAGAGTGTCAGCTTTCATAAAGTACTGAGACTTTCTCAGTTCTTAGTAGAATGGATGAATTATAATATCACTCTTTGCTTCAATAGGACTGTAAGCTTTGAATTACCTTACTTGCAAACAAAACTTCATTTAATTATGACAAATTTTGTCTTAGACATCCCAATACTATTGGTAAATTTTGTATTGCATTAGCAAAAGAAAGGTTCAAAATTTGGATTTTTAAAAATTATCTTTTTAAAGAGTCAACTTTTATTCAGGATAAAAGAATCCATCATGTCCAGAAGTTATAAAACATAAATTTCCATAAGAAAATGTTTTAAACAATCCTGTCAAAATTGAATGGACATAAAATTAACAATCACGGTCATAGACAAACTGGTACTTCAGAAGCTTTAGATTGGAATCGATCTTCCATGAATCCCTCGTCAGGCACCGAAACAGACTATTAAATGCAAAAACATGAAGGTCTTCATCATGTGACTGAAAGGGCGCCAGTCCTTTCCAGATTTGGCACTCTTCAACTTCTTTGAATCAAGGAAAAATCTAATCACCAAATGGAAAGTAAGTTATTATTATTATTTGTTGTTCATTATTCATTATAATGGTGAATGAATATTTGGGAAGAAGTTAGGATTGTAAATTTTCATACAAACGCATGGAATCTAACATAACAAAGTGAATGTAGTGGCAATGCATTTGCCACAACATTTCAACGAGAGACCCTGGGATATATTTCCTGCATAGAGTAGATTCCAGATTATGTATTTTCTTGCATATAAGGCAGATGCAGGAGCAGGAGCAGGAAGGTACTACTTGCGTAAGGACATGGAGTTTTACTAAGGGACAATATAGGACCTAGTGTCCGTTTTGCCCTGAAGGAGCTTTAACATGTCCTCAGTATTGGCCCTCACTTATAGTCTATACTTTCCTAATCTTGATGGAAATCATTGCCCTTTTCTATGCTTCAACTGAATCTCTTTCTGCAGAATTCATGGAATGAAAATCTCCGATTTGGTGAGGACTACACCTGACGCTTTCATGTGCAAATCATCCAGGGATTGTTGTGATGCAGAGAGCTGATGATGTTGTTGGAAATCTTTTGAACTACTACAGAAAGGTAATTTCTCAAAGGACTATGAAGATCTTCTATTTTGTATTGAGATTCTTGAAATATGGAATAACATATCCTAGAGAATTGTTGTGTTGCTAGTAAATCCTTAGAAGCAAGACTTCCTAAAATACTAGCTGACCAAATTTTGCTATATCAAACTTCTCCTTACAGGACTCATCTGTTTAAGTAACAAGCAAAACAGAGGAACATAAGAAGACTACAATCCTTGTCAAGTACTCTCCAAGAGCCTTCTTGAAGTCCAGTTATTGCTGTCCCTACAATGTTGGCTCTTGCTATGACTGAAGTAGGGGCTTCTTCCATACCACTCAGCTAAGTCACTACATGATCCAGAGGACCTGTC